CAAGGTCAATTAGCCTGTCCAGGTGTACTTCTGATTGTCCAGTTACCAAATTTGCTGCCTATTCCTGGCCATTTCAGCAGAAACAGCACTTGCTAAAAAGTGATAACCATGCTTCATCTGCTGTGGATATGACTAGATAGGCTAATTCTCATTTTTGTTCTGCTTAGAAGAAGTAAGGAGTAACTTCATGGAGGTGCTCAGAAATATCATGGCATCCTTGGAGAAAGAGAAGTGCTGTCTCTAGTGAAATCTTGCAAAAAGGTTGCAAAAGTAAATTACGTTGTCAAATGATCACCCATATTATAAGAAAACATCAAAATTAGCAATATAAAGTAGGCTAAAGACAAAGATCTGCTCCTGACAGCCTTGCTAGTTGTACTCACAATACAAGTACATTTTTCCTTGTATCAATGTCACAAGATTAGAACTCTGCTTCTCAATCTAGGACACTGAAAGTACAAAATTCACTGAAGGTAAAAGAAAAAAATGATAATAGTAGGGAGGAAAACAGCAGTCAACACTTTTTTTTTTTTTTTTGGTGCTGGGGATTGAACCCAGGGCCTTGTGCATGCGAGGCACATACTCTACCAACTGAGCTATATCCCTAGCCCAGCAGTCAACACTTTTATGATCATTATCCTTCCAGACTTTCTTCTGGATGTTTCTTTATCAAATAGCTACTTGATTATTCTGTCTTTAGGAATAAGAACAATACTATATTGGGACCCTATGTGAGAAAAATTCAGTATCTGATCCTGCTACCAGCTTCTCTTCAAAGTCTGGATGTCCTGACCTGATGATAATATATAGATCAACACTTCAGTTTATTTTGTAACATTACTGTATCCTAGGAACATCATATATGCTATGGAGTGAACTGTGAACACCCAAATTTGCATGCAAAAGTTCTAACACTCAATGTTATGTTATTTGGAGACATAGCCTTTGGGAGGGATTAGGCTTAGATGAGGTCATGAGAGTGGAGTTCTTAAAATGGGATTAGTGTCTTTATAAAACCAGAATTTATTCTGTCTTTATCCTCCATGTGAGGAAGAAGCAGCCTTCTATAAGCCAGGAATAGGGCCATCACAGTGAATGTTGTCTTGTCTTGGAATTTCTAGCCTTCAGAACTGTGAGAAAGAAATGTCTGTTTAAGTCACCCAGTCTGTGATATTTTGTTATGATGGCCCAAGCAATAAAAAAAGACAATGTTGAATGAAGCTTGATTCTGTTTCTTAATTGTTTATTAAGGGACAGACTGGGGAAAGAGAATTGGGAAGAAGGAATAAACAAAAAACAAATCCTGACAAATCTGAAGTTACTGCTTTAAGGGTTTTAAAGGAGAGGGGGCAATCCAGCACTGAGAGTGCTGTGTTTTTCAGAATCTGCCTCATCAGTGCAATTTGAGAACTTCAGCTGTGAGCTGAATATGATCCTCTTAGACTTTGGGATGTGTCTTTCTGAATCTGAATTTTTAAAAAAACTAACATTCTTATTAAGTGAATGTATGCTTATTTCAAACATCCAGACAACACTGCTTCCATATCTTGATATGCAATCCCCTTACAACAATCATCTCATCCCAGAAACAACCTTTGATGGAGATTCTATTTCCATGCAATGAGATGAACACAAGGAGTTGACAACTTTTAAAGATTATTGTCTGGATCTACATCATTCCTATGAGACTAACATAAGGCATAAAACTTTAAGTTTCTATTAGTGTTCTCAACTTACAGGATAAGGAGGACATAATAAGAATTCAGCCCAAATTTCAGAGTGACTTCTCAGAATATAAATTTGATTGAACTCAGAATACTCACATTCCTTATGCAGTTCTGATATTTCCAAACACCTGAACATAGAGTCTGTTCCAAGGGGTCCACTAATCTGTCCTTGCTTTCAGGCTCCTCAGCTCCATTGTGAGCCAAATGCTGTCTGTGTTGAGATCCTGAGGGTCCTCCTGTACTATAAATTCTTTTCCTCTAAAGGCATCCAGATCTGTTGCACTTTGGTGCTGGCAACTGACCTGAACAGCAGTCTCTCACATGTTCAGGATCCAAAGAGAGAAAATGATCTACAGTAATATACGGGGCATATGTGGAGGGTCTATCACTAACTATTGGTTTCTAGATGTGTTGAGAATTTTCATTTTGATAGCTGGACATGGTGGTTCACGCCTGTGATTCCAGCAACTCAGGAAGCTGAGACAGAAGGATTGAAAGTTTGAGGCCAGCCTCCGCAACTTGGGGTTGGGAGGCAAGACCTTCAGCAACTTAGTGAGACCCTGTCTCAAAATAAAAAAAATAAAAGTAAAAAAAGTCTGGGGATGAAGCTCTGTAGTAAAGTGATCTGGGTTCAACCCCTAGATATCAGAAAAAAAGAATTTTAATTTTGGTTCACCAATGATACTCTGAGTAATTTTGCATTATTGATTTTGCTTCAATGTGTGTCTTCATGATAGTGATTGCTCAGTACTCTCAATATAGTAAGCCTCCCCAAGGATGGATAAAGATTCTTGTCCTGATCATGGACACTATAACTCTTTGAGGTTGATGACAGGAAGGAAAATGAGAAAATGATCAGAAAAATGAGACAGGAGAGTTCCTGATATCTGGTGATAGACTTTAAGACTCCTGGAAAGTCTGTGATAGGCTTCTCATTTTCTGTAGCCACGAGCTTCTACTGATCCCAACAAAAGTTTCTAAATTAAAGGTCTTACAAATGTTACGAATGTTATAGAGATCTCTGATGTGGGTAGTTTTTGTTCTGCCTCCTCTGATTTTCTTCAGTAGAGATTTTAGTAGAGATTTTCTGAGTTTCTTTAGTAGAGTTCTATTGGGCAGGAACTATTGTAGTTACAAGGAGATCTCACACAGCTTTCAGGTAAAAGTCAGTGTCCTAGAATTTACAGTGAGTTGATGGAGTCACTGTTCAAGCTGTTTAGGGAACCCAGGCCATATAGTCTCAACTGTATGTTTCAGTTACAGAATTACCATTTAATTCATACTGATCTAGAGGACTTGGAAACTTAGGATGCTTTTATAAGATGGAGAAGAATGTGGAAGTAGGGGTCAGGTTGAGAGCATCCGATAATTGTGCATGGTCACAATTCCTAGCACAGATCATGGTACTTCTTCTATGACTAGCCCATCTTTTTTTTTTTAATGTGTGTGTGTAAAAAAATTTTTTTATCATGTTTCACTGCAGTTATTGACAGATTTGAGGTAAAACTATTGAGTCTCTTAACAGTCTTGCTTTCATATGGACCTAGCACAATATGAAAAATGGTATCAAGAGATAGATATTAGTTGCAGAGATATAAAGATTCTTATGTACACTACTTTCTTTTTTGGGGGGGTTAATTGCTTTTATTTTTAAATACATAACAGCAAAATGCATCACAATTCTTATTACACATATAAAACAAAATTTTTCATATCTCTGTTTGTATATAAAGTATGTTCATACCAATTCATGTCTTCATACATGTACTTTGGATAATGATGTCCATCATATTCCACCATCTGCTGAGGCTGGCCTCAAACTTTCAATCCTCCTGTCTCACCATCTTTGCTAACCCCCGCCCCCTCCCTTCCTCTCCCACCCCTCTGCCCTATCTAGAGTTTGTCTATTCCTCCCATGCTCCCTCTCCCTACCCAACTATGAGTCAGTCACTTTATATCAGAGAAAACATTCGCCATTTGTTTTGGGGGGGATTGGCTAACTTCACTTAGAATTATCTTCTCCAACTGCATCCATTTACCTGCAAATGCCATGATTTTATTATCTTTTATTGCTGAGTAATATTCCATTGTGTATATATATGCCACATTTTTTTAATCCATTCATCTACTGAAGGGCATCTAGGTTGGCTCCACAGTTTAGCTATTGTGAATTGTGCTGCTATAAACATTGATGTGGCTGTGTCCCTGTAGTATGCTATTTTTAAGTCCTTTGGATAAAGACTGAGGAGAGGGATAGCTGGGTCAAATGGTGGTTCCATTCCAAGTTTTCCCAGGAATCTCCATACTGCTTTGCATATTGGCTGCACCAATTTGCAGTATGACTGGCTCATCTTTGTGGCATGTGGGAAGTAGTACGATGACCTGACAGGTAAGAAAAACTACTTATTTTAAGACATTCTTTTATATGTAGTAAACATAGTGATCTGTTAGTGAAGCAGCTCAGGAGATGGGATACTTGTGACTTAGATTTTCTACTGAATGGTCCTTTTACTATTCCCTGATCATCTGCATTTTCAAGTCTGAAAATTCACTGAATCTTCTCAGGCTACAGGAACAACTGTATGTTATATAACTTCGGGCAACTTTCTAGATCCAATTTTTATTATCTGATACTGGGAATAATAAAATGTACCTCTTAGGTGCATTAAGAAGACTAATTAAAAAGAAACTATATTTGTAAACACCTATAAAACATCTGATATATAGATAATCTATGTTGACATTCATATTACTATTTTAAATTTCTTTTTTTTAGTTGTAGATGGACAGAATACCTTTATTTATTTTTATGTGGTGCTGAGGATTGAACCCAGTGCCTCACACATGCAAGGCAAGTGCTCTGCCACTGACCCACAATCCCAGCCCTCATACTACTATTAAAATATTATTAGTATAGCCAGGCGTGGTGGCACAAGCCTGTAATCCTAGTGGCTTGAGAGGTTGGGGCAGGAGGATTTTAAGTTCAAAGCCAGTTTCAGCAATGGCGAGGCACTAAGCAACTCAGTGAGACCCTGTCTCTAAATAAAATACAAAATAGGGCTGGGGATGTGGCTCAGTGGTTGATTGTCCCTGAGTTCAATCCCTAGTACCCTCCAATATTATCAGTATAGACACAAAAAGATACATTGTTTCTCTAATGAAATATATTATGGAGATATACAATTTTAATTAGCTATTGTGGAAATTTAAATTATTCAACCCAAATGAACACAGAAACAAAATTATTCTCTGTAGAAGATACTTTTAACTCACCTTAGTTGCTTCATTGATGATTTGGAACCTGGTGCTGTCTTTTTCTGTTGTGATTGAGTCTAATAATGCCCGATAGGTAGAATTCTTGGAGAGCTGTTTTTGACGCCTATCAATATGAAGTATAAAGATGTGTGAGGACTATTTGTGATTGGAAGCATCCAATAGAATATATTAACATGTAAAAGTCATTAAAATGCATTATGAAGCTGAGAGTAGTAGCAGACACCTGTAGTCCCAGAAACTCAGGAGGTGGAAGGATCATGAATTCAAGGTCAGCCTGGGCAATTTAGTGAGATTCTCGGCAGATTAGTGAAACCCTGCCTCAAAAGGAAAAACAGAAAGAACTTGGGATGTAGTGCAGTGGGGTAAAGCGACCATGGGTTCAATCCTTAGTACAAAAAAAAAAAAAAATTCACTGTGTTATTAAGTGAACAGGGCATAGGTAGTACTAGTACTCTCATAAAGTATTAAGGGTATTACATATTATTTGAGTACTAATAAAATTATTACTAATAAGAATATTAATGTAATTTTTCAATATAACATCCTTAATTTGCTTAAGGATTGCAATTTGTCTCCTTTATTGAGCAAGTGGGGTAATTTTCAAAGATGACACTTATGAGTTTGTTCATGTCCTACTCTCTTTTCATGAAATAAATCCTTTAGTAGCAACTGAATAGATTCTAGTAGAAATTCATCTAATGGTTTAACAAGATGACCAGGCATATCCTATGAATGACTGTGAAGTGGATTTTTTGCACACATAGAATCTAGAGTGTAAACTGAGACTAGAGGGTATCAGTAGACAAACCTTCCTATAATTGAATTCCTATAATTGTCAACACTGCTCATGTGAAGAATACATAGTGGAAGTAAGCTACAATGTAATATGAATCCTATAAAACAACACCTAGTAATGAGTTGGCTACAACAATTCCTATAAGACGTTCAATGGTAAATAGGAAAATAAATACAAGGGTTTATAGTATTATAGGAGATCATTTAATGTTTCTATTGTGTGTGTTGCTAGTCAGCTAAACACTTTAACCCCTGTTGGAATGGAAATAATTACAGAAGCTGATGTAAAATATGCTCATGTATCAATATGTATTCCTATGGTAATTATGTGGTAGGTTCAGAAAATAAATCCTAAGTAATCAATAGATATATAGCTCATACGATTCGTATATAACCAAAGGCTTCTTTTTTTTCCCTGAATAATAAGTAATAATATGTGAAATAATTCCAAATCCAGGTAAAAAAGAGTATATACTTCTGGGTGTCCAAAGAATTGGAATAAATGTTCATAGAGGATTGGGTCTCCTCCTCCAGCTGGGTCAGAGAAAGTTATATTGAGGTTTTAGTTAGTGAGAAGCTCAGGAATTTCTGCTTCTAGTACTGGGAGGGAACTAAATAATAGTACTGCTGTAATTAGCAGTAATCTGACAAATAATGGTGTTTGATATCAATGTAGACTTCCCTCTAAGATACCTGTTCTGAATTAAAATCGTATACTTAGCAGCATAAGTCACAATAGCTAAATTATGGAATTAACCTAGATGATCTTCAGTAGATGAATGGATAGGGAAACTTTGGTATATATACACAATGGAACATTACTCAGCTTTAAAGAAGAGTGAAATTATGGCATTTGCCAGCAAATGGTTGGAGTTGGAGTTGTCATGCTAAGCAAAATAAGCCAATCCCACAAAACCAAAGGCTGAATGTTTTCTTCGATATGAGGATGCAGACACATAATGGCACTTAGGGGCGTGGGAGCATGGGAGGAATGGAGGAACTTTAGATGGGGCAAAGGGGAGGGAGGGGAAGGGAGGGTGCAAAGGGGTAAAAATGATGGTGGAATGAATTAAGACATTCCACCATCATTTAAGATCATGTAAGACACGAATGGTGTGAAAATACTTTGTGTAAAACCAGTGTAAATTGAAAAATTGTGCTCTATATGTGTAATATGAAATGAATTGCATTCTGCCATCATGTATAACAAATCAAATAAATTTTAAAAAATGGTATACTTTCCTGGGTTGGGAATGCAGTTCAGAGCTTGCCATTAAAAGTCCTTGTGTAGCATGCATGAGGCCCTATATTTATCCCTACAAAGACAGACAGACAGACACACACACACACACACAAATTTTCCTTCCTCTATAGAGTGAATAAATTAGGAAGTTAAATTATATAAAACACTTTTTTATTATTTGTTTCAGGATCACATAAAAGTAGATAGCAAAAAACAAAGATTTTAAAGACATCTTTTTGAGGCTCTGGGGAAACAAATGATCTCATAGAATTTGATGGGAGTATAAAATAGTACAATCTTGGTAGAGAAAATCTGGTAGTAGTTACCACATTTCAAATGCATTTACACTTTAAACCAATAATCCCATTCCTAAAAATCCATCCTTTAGATATCTTTCAGTGCTATTATAGCAAAACACTGAAAACAACCCAAGGATCTAGCAAGAGGAGACAAATGAAATAGTATATCTAACCATGGAATACTATGCAACTACAAAAATGGAGGAAATTCTCCAAGTACTCAAGTCAAGGTTCTTTAGAATAAACTATAAAGCAGAAAAAAAGATATATAGAACAGTATATGCAGAGATTAATTTGGTATAAGAAAATAGGTGAGGGGCTGGAGTGATGGCTTAGTGGTAGAGCGCTTGCCTAGCATGTGTGAGGCACTGGGTTTGATTCTCAGCACTGCATATAAGTAAATAAAAATAAAGGTTCATTGACAACTAGAAAAAAAAGAGGGTGATGTAAGAATATGTACCTTTACAAAAAGAACTACTAGAATAAATAAGAAATTAATAAAACTAGTCACTGACAGAGACAAGGTGACGCATAGGGTGGAAGCGGACAGCAGTGGGAATAACACTTTTCAATGTGTATCTTTTTATATTACATTTGAACTACATGAAAGTGTTATCTATTCAGACATGAAATTTTAAAATTAGTTTAAAAATTTAAATAGTGGTAAGTATATAGAGGTAAAAGTCTGAAGAATTATTTTTTTTAATTTATTTTTTAGTTGTAGTTGGACACAATACCCTCATTTTACTTTTATTTATTTATTTATATGTGGTGCTGAGGATCAAACCCAGGGCCTTGCACATGCTAGGCAAGTGCTCTACCGCTGAGCCACAACCCCAGCCCTTGAAGAATTCTTTAATCATTACATTTCCTAATTGATCCTTTCCTTAGAAAGCCTATCGATTCTCAAAAGTTAATAGAATTAATTTTAAAATATTGTCAGAATTTTTAATTAAAAATTTTTTTTGTGGTACTGGGGATGGAACCCAGGCCCCTCTGCATATTATGCAAGTATTTTACCACTGAGCTGCACCTCTAGCCCTTTAATTAATTAATTAATTTTTTTGAGACAGGGTCTCACAAAGTTGCCCAGGCTGGCCTAGAACCTCTTGCTTCAGCCTCCCAGGTAGCTAGGATTATAGGTGTGTGCCTCTGCATCTGGCCAGAAATGTTTTGATCAAGGTAATATATTTACTTTCCTTACCTGTAGAAAGCAATCTTGCTGCAGTCTCTGAAAACATTTTTATCCACAGCTTCTTCTTCAACACTAAATGAAAAGACATTTTAAGAAATGTATTTTACATAGTGTTTGTGAATCCGATTTTTGTACCTTCTCTAACTATAGTATGAAGATGTAAAATAAACCTTTGGAGTCTATTGTGCAATGCAAAATTGTTTCACAACAACTTCATGTAATACAATGGCATAAGTGTTGCAGAATGAATAAACTTCTGTAAAATATCCAAATTGAATAACAAAATATCAAGTTCTGGGATTATTCTGAAAGCAAAGGAAAAATGGCACTGTCACTTATGAGGAAGGGTTCTTTTAAAATTATGACTACAACAGTAAAATCTGAAAGAGCAAAGAACAAAACAAAACCCTCCAAGACAAATGAAAATTTAAAAACAACAACAAAAAACAAACAAACAAACAAACAAAAGAACCCAAACACACAAAAAAATAAATCGGCCGGGCACAGTGGTGCATGCCTATAATCTCAGAGGCTGGGGAGGCTAAGGCAGGAGGATCACGAGTTCAAAGCCAGCCTCAGCAATTTAGTGAGGTGCTAAGCAATTCAGTGAAACCCTCTCTCTAATAAAATACAAAATAGAGCTAGGGATGTGGCTCCATTTAACCACTGTTAAGTGGCCTGGAGTTCAATCCCTGGTACCCAAAAACAAAAATTAAAAAAAAAAAAATCAACAACAAAAAAAACACCTACTCACCTATTTAATCAACAAAATATTTTCAGAATATATTTAAAAATTTTTTTTTTGTTTTAGTTGTTGATAGACCTTTATTTATTTATATGTGGTGCTGAGAATTGAACCCAGTGCCTCACAAATGCCAGGCAAGTGTGCTACTGCTGAGCCCCAGCCCCAGTCCACCAAAATATATTCTTACTGGGTGTTGGGCTCTGGACAAGATAGGAAGGACAATGTCCATACTTTCTGTAAAAGCCTAACTGGGAATCACAATATAACCTGACAAATGCTCTGAGAGGTATTGCAAAGTGCTAGAATTAGAAACAATCACAGAAAGAAAATCTTTTGCTTTTTAAGATGATGATGATGATGACAATCCAGAAGTAAATGTTCTTTTTCTAAAATATCTTTATTTATTTTTTTATATGATGCTGAGGATGCCACCAAGTGCCTCATGCATGTGAGGTAAGCACTCAACCACTAAGCTACAACCCCAGCCCCAGAAGTAAATGTTCTTTAAAACTAAATTTCCAGAAGAAACGTTTCTGGAATAAAACATGAACAAGATACACTGCTATTTGAGTATGGGTATTTAATTTATCCTTCATCTGATTAAAACAACTATAAAAACAAAACATTAGTTTTCATGCAGAGTGTGGCTGTATACTCTGTAGTCAGTTTGTCCATGATTTTTTTTGGACACCAACTTCAAAAAATGAAAACATATATACCATTAGTCCTTAGTTCTACTAAAAAATTCTCTTTATCACGAAGTAATTAAATCTTTCATTAAACTCAGCTTTTGTCACTGCTTCACATTTGAAGTAGCAGCTCTGGAATGACATAGAAGGAGGGTATAAACTTAACTTGGAAAGCAACATGCTTAAAATTCATATGTTAAGAGTTATGTTGGCAACTTTTCCAGTATTAACCATCCTGTATTCAATCATCCTGAAAATATATTGAGGCTATTTACATTAGCCAATTCCCTCAAAATTGAGTAAAAATGATAAAGCACACAACCTAATATTCAAATAAGAAATACATATATATATATATATATATATATATATATATATATATATGTATTTTTTTTTCCAGTAAAAACTTCAAAACCAGAAGGCTGTTTTCAAGGTACTTTCAGTCCTCCCTGGGGTCAGTCCCTGCAAGAGCACTCCGTCTTTACCTGATTTCCTCTTCCCCAGCTGCTTCCATAACTTCTCTGTCAATCCAACTGGCTCTCAGCTCTCAGGCCACGGCCTAGGGCGATCTTTATAAAAAGCCAAGGAGTCGTCTTTCTAAAATTATGACCAGCACTTCACCATCGTCAAGTTTCTGGTAAATGGAGTCTCCCCCAGATTCTCAAGGAATGACAAGTACTGGCTCTTGCTCCTTGGATTTTTTCAAACGCAACTAGCGTTTCTACAGGTATTATCGTGGCAAAATTTTCCTGATTATGGGTGAATGATGAGGACCGTGCTTTCATTAGAAACCGAAACTGTTTGCAGTGGAGAAGGCGTGTATACAATGACTCCTAGAGGGTAAAAAACAAGATCGTGAGAACCAGGAAGTACCGAGACGGCCTCCAGATTGGAGCAAAGCTGCTGCAGTTTTCTCTCAGTGGCAGTCATGCTAAGATACTGAAAACTGATGCACTCTTTTCCCGATTTTAGTTTGAAAGAGAAGTACCGGCGAGGTCTTTACTGGAAGCTGATTGTCCGGCCAAACTCCTGTAGCTAAAAAAGGCTCTTTTAAAGATTTTTTTTATTATACCATCCAGCTAGGAATCGCTTCTACTACACGAGTGCCAAATTTCAGCCTTTGCTTAAACAGGTCCCAAACGGGACAACTCGCTAAAGGACGCCTATCAGGCAGCCAGAATTACCGCTTCTCCAGACTTCTGACTCCGTTCGACTTAGAAGGAATGAGGGGTTAGGGCAAGAGGGAGGAGGGGAGAGTAGAACGCTGCAGAGGAGAAGCCGGACGCCTGAGTGGCTATGGGAGATCTTTTAATCAAACCGACCAGGTTGCCACAGGACGACGCCTGCGCAATAGGTCCAAAGTCTCACACTTGATCTAGTACGACTGTCAGAGCAGTGGCCGCTAGGTTGCAAAACAAACAAGCCCCACGACGTTTCGAGGACCCGGATGATCCCGCCCTCAGAGCAGAGCCGGAAGAGGGCGGGACAAACCGGAAGGAGGTGAAATGCTTTCAGTAGACACTCCATGGCTGTGAAGATGGCGGCAGCTGCGTGGCTTCAGGTGTTACCTGTCATTCTTTTTCTTCTGGGGCCTCACGTGTACCCATTGTCGCTTTTCGGCGTAGGGCTGGCACCCGTTTCTGCTGCCGACCGATCCAAGTGGCACGTTCCGATACCGTCGGTGAGTGTTAAGAGTAGCGAGCGACTGAGCCTGGAGGAGCAAGAGGTGGGGCTACGGCGGCCCAAGGGGTTCATGAAGGTTCGGAAGAAGATTGCTTCCGAAGGGGTGGGATTCCGGGAGAGTCTGTGTAGCCGGCCCCCTGGGACCCACCTCCCTGGAGCGGAAAGCTGTTCTTGGTGGAATGGCTAGGTGGAAAGTCAGGGGTACTTAAGCTGCGCAAAGGAGTAGTAGAACGGGTTCTCATTAGAAAGTAACAACTTTCAGTGCCTGACTTGAGAGAGATTTAAACTTGATATCAGATAGTGGTTTATTTTTCAGCTGAAGTTTTACAGAGTACAGTGAGCCCAAGTTAGGAGGGATGTGTAAAAAGACGTCTTCGTTTCTTTTTTCCTCTGCACTCTCTCTCTCTCTCTCTTTTTTTTCTGGGTAACTCTGCTTTCAAAATGGTTCGATTTTATTTTCACTTTAAATTGGTTATTCTAAGTTTTTCTAAGGTTAAGAATCCTTGGTATTTAAAAATCTATTTTCAACACCGGAATGACTAAAAATGAAAGAATTCTAAAATATAATTTGGTAAGGCTAATTTTTAAAATTTGGTCAATTAACTAGATAAATGGACTTTATCTGTTCCACCCACTTTTTAAAACTTCATTTTGTCCTTCATAGGACATAAACTAGATGCAGGCACGAAGTGCTAAAAAAAAAAAAAAAGCATTAACTGTGAAAACCACGTTGGCTTTTTTGTTTCATTTTGCTCCGCTCGCCCACTGTAAATTTATACAGCATGCATTATAGTTTATATTCATTTGGTGAAGAACTTGTTCTCAATTTTAGGGTTTTCCTGGTTCTTTAATGATGAATAGTTAAGTTTTAGATTTAAACATAAGAGTGATTATTTGAGGCGGGACAACCGACAATGACACCTAACCTCTATTGGTTCTTCTCGGCATTGATCAGTGAGTGAAGGAAATGAGTTGATTATTGAGGGGTAAGACAAATGAAGATTTAGGTTGAGCTTCCTAGTAGCCTCCCTTCTAAATTCCTTGCTTTGTGGCCTGTGGGGAAAAATTGTGCACTTTGTGATCAAATTTCACTAAAAGGAGAGACGTTACTATTTTTTAGTTAAGAAAACTAACTTGGGGGGAAAAGCTAATTTGAATATTTTATACTTTTAAGTAGCTATATTCTGTTGTGGGAATTGAAGTGATCTGATGCTAAATTTTCTTTTTTTTTTTTTAAACTTTGCAGGGGAAAAATTATTTTAGTTTTGGAAAGATCCTTTTCAGAAATACCACTATCTTCCTGAAATGTGAGTTTTTGAATTTCATGAATTTTCTTGAGTTTTTGAAGTTATAAGTGAAATTTCTAAGTTACCTATTTTCCACTTCTGATCATCTATTTGCAATGTATTTTTAAGTTCAAAACTTTGGTAGTCCAACACTATATAGGTATAAACATTTGGTATAACTAAGGTCCTTTCATTAAATACTATTCAGAATACTTGTGTGAACTTTATTTTCTTCCCTTGTTTTTCAGTTTATTATACATGAATATACACCATATGTTATATACAATAATACTTATTATATGTCATATACTCATTTATACTACATTAAATTTGTGTTGAATAAATAGTCTGCATATGTATAAATAGTTATGCATTATATATATAACATTCAGTCATCTCAGTTGAATTATATGTAATTATGTCGGTTGATTGCATAGGTTTTTAATCTGTTCTGAGTCATAGAGATATCAGTAATTTTACACTTGTATGCTGGTTAGATGTTTACTGAAAACATGACCTAGGTTTGTCAGACCATTGCTCAGAACAAATGTGTTCAATAGATCTTTTATTTACCAAAGGAGTATTTTACCACCTTGAGGAAGATGAAGTTTAGATATATTACCAGGAAATAGGGATTATGTAGAACAAAACCAGTTTGTCTAGTGGGACAACCACTGTATCTGAATCTAAACTATTCCATTGTGTATTAAAGAAAAGCTTCCTTTTAGTTCTGAATCGGGCTTTATTTAAGAGAATAAATGGTCATGGGAAGCTCAGTTTCAAGATGAGGGATGAAATCCAGATGATTGCTGTACAATTCTTTTTTCTTTTTTTTTAAACTGGGAATTAAACCCAGGAGTGCTTTAGCACTGAACTACAATCCCAAGCATTTTTATTTTTTAGTATTGATTCAGGGGCTTGCTATGTGGCTGGGCTCGCCTCAAACTTGAAATCCTGTCTCAGCCTCCTGAGTTGCTGGGATTACTGGTTAATAGGTTCACTACGTATTTTTAACAGACTAATGTGTACTTCTAAACTTACCTTCCTCTAGAAAGTGCAAAGTTTTAAGGTGTAATTAGATGATTTTATTCTTTTAATTGTTTAGTAAATAGTTGTTAAATACTTATTATGTGCTGGGTACTCTCTTATTTTTTTGTGGTAATATGGATTGAACCTAAGGGCACTCTATTACTGAGTTTCACCTGTAGTCCTGTTTATTTATTTCAGTACTGGGGATTAAACTCAGGGGCACTCAACCACTGAGCCACATCCCCAGCCCTATTTTGTATTTTATTTAGAGACAGGGTCTCACTGAGTTACTTAGCACCTTGCTATTGCTAAGACTGACTGCGAACTTGCAATCCTTCTGCCTCAGCCTCCTGAGCTATTGGGATTACAGGAGTATGCCACCACGTATTTTTTGAGATAGGGTCTTATTTGGTTGCCGAAGCTGGCCTTGAACTTGCAGTCCACCTGAGTAGCTGGAATTATAGCTGCCCACTCTCCTGGCCTGGATACTCTTTTAGACAGTAGTATTTTTCTCACCTGCATTTTGATCTATATTTTAAAGTTTTTTTTGGTCAGTTTCCGCCCAGCTTGCCCGGCTTCGCCCGCGCGGCTGGAGTCAAGATGGAGGAGTATGTGAGAGAGCCTTGCCCCTGGCGAATTGTGGATGACTGTGGTGGGGCCTTTACGATGGGTACCATAGGTGGTGGTATCTTTCAAGCAATCAAAGGTTTTCTAAATTCTCCAGTGGGAGTAAACCACAGACTACGAGGGAGTTTGACAGCTATTAGAACCAGGGCTCCACAATTGGGAGGTAGTTTTGCGGTTTGGGGAGGCCTGTTCTCTATGATTGACTGTAGTATGGTTCAAGTCAGAGGAAAAGAAGATCCCTGGAACTCCATCACTAGTGGTGCCTTAACAGGAGCTGTACTGGCAGCAAGAAATGGTCCAGTGGCCATGGTTGGGTCAGCTGCAATGGGTGGCATTCTCCTAGCTTTAATTGAAGGAGCTGGTATCTTGTTGACAAGATTTGCCTCTACACAGTTTCCCAATGGTCCTCAGTTTGCTGAAGACCCCTCCCAGTTGCCTTCCACCCAGTTACCATCCTCACCTTTTGGAGACTATCGACAATATCAGTAGAACTTTTTTCCCAGGATTTCTTTAACAGAATGAGCTGTAGTTCAAGAAAGATTTCAGAAGATCAAGTTGCAGTCTGTTTTTAAAACCATAGGAGGAACAACTGTGGCCAAATAGGCTATGAAGAGACATTTAGCACTTTTTTCTATTTAAAGGAACATGGAGGGGGGGAATAAAAGATGCCACATTTATGTATTCACACTCGGATTGCATTTGTGATCAAAATAAATATCTAATGTCCTTAAAAGAAAATATAATAAGTGCTTAGAAGATGAAGGACCAAAGGGCAAATAACAGTGGAACATGACCATCATTTCCTTAGGGACTTCTCTGCCTGGTTTTATGTGTTCTATTATTCAAACAATAAAAAGCTCCTGGAACTTACTCTTTCTTTTAAGATAAATTATAAAGTTCTGCCTTTTCATACTGAGCATATTTCAAATAATGCATGTTTTATACTCGTCCCTCATCTCACTTGAAGTGAATTATGTATAAGAAGAATTATGCAGAGTCGACATGAATCATTTCACAGTGAAATGCTTTATGGATTGAAGGATATGGTAACTATCTTTTACTTTGAAAGTAAACTATGCTGTCTTGGTTTTGAGGATGGTGGGTACAAGACTGTTAACTTTAGGGCTACTACGTCCTGATTCCTGATTATCAGAAACCTCACCAGAAACAACTTGCTTTCAATATGCCCAATTCTGTATGAGAAGAATTCATGCAGAGAAAATTTTGGTGTTGTGTGCTTGAAAATAAAATATATGCTATTTTTAAAAAAAAAATAAAATAAAATAAAGTTTTTTGGAGGATTTGAGGCTCCTTAAAAATTTTGTTACTTCTGTGTACCAATTGGCTCTGATTTTATATTTTTGTGCATATGGTATATGGTCTTTTTTTTTCTTTTTGTTGTAGATGGACACAATACTTTTATTTTTTTAATTTATTTTTATGTCGTGCTGAGGATCGAACCCAATGCCTCATATGTGCGAGGCAAGCACTCTAACACTGAGCCACAACCCCAGCCTGGTATATGGTCTTTGATGGCATAGATGCGACCATTTTCATTATCTCTATTCAGGTCTTTCATTCGGAGTTCTAAACTTTGTCTTAATTTTTTTTTTTTTAACATAAACAGCAATATTTTTGCAGCTCAGTTCCCTTGCATTCTTTTTTAGGGGATGTTTTCTTACTGACTTAATTTATTAATCCTAGCTCTAGAG